ATACGTATGTGAGGCAGCGTGGTGGAATCAGGCTCTCGTCAATTTTGGGGCACATAGAGTTATTGGTATAATCTTAAAGCTTGTTCACTTGCCTTTATTTGGATGAAAAATTATCTTTTTATCTCAAATACAAGTCGAGATATTTGAAAATGAAAGAGGTGGGGGTCACCTGTTTTCAGAGGTAAAATTAGTGAGAAAATGGCTGCCAAAGATTAGTTATTTCCTTAGCTTAAGAGTCTGTGGTAACTGAAAATTTACATATTTTGGGCAATTAATCGACTTTTTTCAGAAAAGTCCGCACAGAAATGAGTTCTTTAATGGGCATGAAAGGTGTTAAGCCCAAAAACAAAAATCTGATAAAAATTCACAAACCTGCGGAAAAATGCAAGTTTCTTCACTTTGATTGTTTTGACGAGAGCCTGATTCCACCACGCTGCCTCACATATATTATTGTAAAACGGACGTGACTTGTATCTTTATATTTAAAACTGACGTGACTTGCATGATTATACATTATTGTAAAACTGGCGTGACTTGCATGATTATACATTATTGTAAAACTGACGTGACTTGTATTTTTATATCTAAAACTGACGTGACTTGCATGATTATACATTATTGTAAAACTGACGTGACTTGCATGATCATACATTATTGTAAAACTGACGTGACTTGTATCTTTATATTTAAAACTGACGTGACTTGCATGATCATACATTATTGTAAAACTGACGTGACTTGCATGATCATACATTATTGTAAAACTGACGTGACTTGCATGATCATACATTATTGTAAAACGGACGTGACTTGTATCATTATATTTAAAACTGACGTGACTTGCATGATTATACATTATTGTAAAACTGGCGTGACTTGCATGATTATACATTATTGTAAAAAAAAACTGACGTGCAAGATTTGGCGTTTTCCGTGAATTGTTCGGAGCATCAATACTCTTTGCTAAATGCTGTGCTCGTATAACTAGGTTTGGGTCATAATATAAAGTTTGTTAACACAGCCCAGGCCAACCAAGGTTAGAGTAATTGTAATACATAAAAAAAAAATTGTTATTAGTTTTGTTGGCATGCATTGGTAATAGTAATAATAAATATTGGTAAACCTAGGCTATACATGTATCTGCGAAAAGACAGTTGCCCCTTCCGTATCGATAGACGAGGCCAAGGGACGCAACTCTCACCATCTCTCTCCTCTCAGGTAAATAATAGGGCAATAGAGAAAATGATGATTGATAGAAGCGTCCACGGAGAAAGATCTTGACTCTTATGAAAACACGAACATCATCGTCACGAGTTTCACATGTTGTAACCCAGTTTTTTCACAATAATATAGATCTATGGGTATGTAGATCTAATTCTGTTCCGTTTGTATAGAATCTAGATTTAGATTCTAGACTCTTAGTTCTAGATCTAGATATCTAGATTCTAATTAGACGCTATTTAGCTATTTTTTAGAATGGAGCTTTTTCCCTTATTTTTTTTTCTCATTACCGTGCCGTATTGAATGGGTTCGTACATTGAATTGCCCAAGTTGCTAAATTAATACAAAAAATACTAGGTCTAGATCTATATCTAGATCTAGTCTAGATATAGATGTAGATCTAGAATCTCTAGATCTAGATCTAGAATCTAGATCTAGATCTAGATCTAGATCTAATACAACTACAACTCTGAATGAACACCCAGCCCAGACCCAGAAAGGCAGAATCAGTCAGGAAGATGAGACAGACTCACTGACCACTGTATCTAAGATTCTTAGTCTAGCCTAGAATCTAGTTCACTCACTTACCACTCTGATGACGTGAGATCTTAGTTTAATCTGGAACTTTAAGTTAATTTTTCCCATTTTAGACAGCAGCCCATTGTAGACCTTGCCAAGTCTTGCCATTGCCTCGCCTTTGCCTTTGGTGAATGTGTTTACTTTTTGGCCACCTCTATTCTCACCCGGGGTGAGAATAGTGCAGGCGAGTCTTTTGGCTATTCTCACCCGGTGTGCGTTCACCGTTATAGCCTAGATGTAGGCCAACAAATTTTGCGTTCACCCTAAACCACAGAATTCGGCGCTTTTTCGGTAGTTCCCACCCCCCTTATTTGATAGAGCCTGACCTACATCTAGATCTATATATATATATACGTTTGATTCGCGGCAAGCTAAGATGTCAAACCTAACAACTGCAAAACATGAAATTGTGGTAAAATTCAGGGGGGCATGCCCTCCTGAAAACCCCCACCTTGTTTATATTAGGTCAGGGGGGCAAGCCCCCCTGAAACCCCCCTACTCTTGGGGCCAAAACCGGCGAATAACAAAATTTGTTTCAAATGCGGGGTGGGAACTACCGAAAAAGCGCCCAGAATTCTACACTGTGATAACAGAAATTGTAGAATTCTGTGCCGTGAACAAACGTTCCATTACAACTGTAGCCTACTAAAAGCGTACAATTTTGTCTGTGGGCAGTGGAGAGAGAGAGAGAAAGAGAGAGAGGAGTAGCGCGAGAACTTCCGGTCAAAACAAAATGGCGACCCGCGTAGTTCGGCTCGATTCGAAAAGTTAAATAGCCGTAGCATCTTTGTAGACAACCAAATTAATTTACTTTTGTGTTTTAACATAATTTTTTAACTTTGTTTTGGTCAATTTGATCGTCCAGACCGATAGACAGTATTCAGAAAGAGACAGAGAGAGAGAGAAGAGGGGAGGAGTTGATCTTGCGAGAACTTCCGGGCAAAACAAAATGGCGACCCGCGTAGTTCGGCTCGATTCGAACAGTGAAATAGCCATAGCCATAGCATCTTTGAAGATGAGATCAAATTAGCTTACTTTTGTGCTATTTATATAACGTAATTTTTTCTTGGCTTTTATCAATTTGATCATCCACGTCGATAGAAAGTATTCCGAAATTAGGAAAAACAGGTCTTGTTTCAAACCGGATGAGAATAGCCTAGGGTCGCAAGTCTCACCCGGGGTGAGAGGTCGATCGTATTTCTATTCTCACCCCGGATGAGAATAGCCACTTCCTTACTTTTTTACTACCACAGAACACTTTTTGGGGGTTTTCAAACTCAACAAACGGACGATTTTTTGGCTGCAGATCACACACGTACATGAATGAACATAGATCTACATGATAAACTATAGTATAGACCCTTAAAAGATATATTGCCGCTAAAACTGGGGCAAATCATTTTCAATAAGAAAATTTCAGATCTAGATCTAGATCTAATTGGAAAACCTGTTGTCAAACTGTGTGTGATGTTCTGGTCTTGGTTAGCTTAGTGGACTTGATGCCGGACATGGTCTCTTTATCTACTGTACTCTTCAAGGCCACACTTCCAGATGTGTGTGCAGGTTTTGCTCTCACATTTGCTGGATTTGGGTAATTGTATTTAATAAGCAAAGAACACACTAACTGGATTTGGGAAATTAAAAAAGTTGTAGCGACTTAGTTACACGACACCTGCGTGCAAAAAAGTCCAGTTAAACCGGTGTTGTTTATATTGTTACTACAGACAGGTGGAAAAGACGCTTATAAATAACGTTAATTTGTCTGTACTTAATGACTTAAAGTACTTAGTTCACAACCCGATGTTCTGTCAAGTCTCTTCAAAATGAAGGTTAGAGATAGGGATACCCTATACTCCATAACAACCGTTACCCTAACCCTCCTCTAACCCTGTAACATTATTTGCCGAATCCAGAAAAAATTAATATAAAACGTAAACATGAGGAAGATTGCCCTCTGCTAGATCAAGTGTGGAGAGCTGCTAGATGGCTGCTGCCCCGGCACAACCACTTTGGTGACCACTGGCGTTGGGCACTGACGGTCAAGCAAAGATGGGGAGGGTAATGTGATTGTCCAGATTTTGCTCCACTTCTTGGGTCTACAAGATGTATTACACAAACGTTATACATATAATGCTTCATTTTTGAGTCCATGAGGGCACATATATATTATATATATGAATATATTACGTATGATTTCCACAGGGTGGGAAAAGTTCAGAGTATTTGTGGCAGTCGGTTGACGTCCCTGATAATCCAGTTTGGATTCATTTCTTCATTTGTCCATCGTTTCTGTGTTTTTTCAGGTTTAGTGAATGAATGATGATCCTCGCATCCTGTGTGCCCCTAGATCCACTACGTTTCTCCTGCCTGCAGTCAGCCTGGGACCTAAAAGGGCTCCGATGAGGATTTTTTCCGATGTTTACTTCACGCTGAAAGACCCGCTGTTCCGACATTTGATCCGACCCACGGGTCCGTGGGACATTGACCATAATTACGTCTTATCTTGTTGTCACTTTGGAAACTGTAGGATTTTCCTAAAGAGTGCTTCTTGGGCAAGATAATAACAGTGGAGGAGCCTGTCAACCCATTCAACAAAGAAGTTCACTTGCAAGTCGTGGAAAAAACACGTTTCATCTGAGCTTCTGCATTTAAGCATTTAGTACCTTATTATTATTATATTATTTGCCATATTTATTTAACTTTTTACAGTGTCTTATGTAATACTTTGACTTTTAGTGTCGTGAAGTAGTGAGTGTTAGATTGCCGGATGTCCATACGTTTTGCTCTTTCTCTCTTCTATTGAAGGTTTTCATATTTTGAATGTTGAAGCATTGTAACCTCTGCATGGTGTAAATAGAAAATAACAGGATCTGTGTAAAATAAGAATTGCTTCTGTACATTTAGCTCACGGTAAAGGCTGACAAGAGCACTCTGCAGCTTGTAGTGGAGTCAATTTGTGTGAAAGTGTCTAGTATTTGGTATGTAAGTTAGGTCACTTTGTGCTGTTTGTTGATAATTCAACTCGTTTGAGAAAGAGTGAGGGAGTGGCTGTCATAGTCTGAGGAGGTTTGTGAGCTCAAGATCCCTGGATGAAAGCTGATGCCTTGTCTGAGTGCGACCTCAGGAGACGGACGTTGTTTTTTCCCGAGGAGATCTCGTCCCATAAGTTCCCATGACATCAAGTTACCCAGTAATCAAAGGTAAGCTGGAAAACAAAGTACAGTGGAGTCCGCCTAAAGTGAGCATGATTTAGTGTATTTGAACAATCAGTTAAAGTGAACGATATTTTGTGGTCCCGATTGAAACGCTAGTTGTTAAAGTTTTAAAAAATGTAGATAAAATGAACTGGTTTCTTGGGAAAATCAGATAAAAGGAACGCCCACAATGAGTGAAAGCAAAGAACGGTCCGACCGTGTCACTGTCGCCATGCTGGGAAAATAAAATTCTTTGCTTTGGGTGTCGGCAGACAATCCCAGCTCGGCATTGGCGACGGCAATCTCAGTCAGAAAGAAAGAGCTCTAGTCTAGGCTCGCCTGCTATGTTGTCCCACGCCACCTCCACCCTAGACCCACCACTGCGCGTAGCTACTGTTTCTTCTAGGCGTCCACTCTACCACAATGGTTAAACTGAACCTTGGATAAAGTGAACACTTTCTTCTGGTCCCAAAGAGTTCACTTTGAGCGGACTCCACTGTAGTTTAATCTTGTTCATAACGCTATGTCGCCTTTTCTGTGCCTCTTTCTTCTCATATTTCAGAAGCATGGAATTTTGCAAATTGTTTAATTTTATAGATTTCAATGCTTGTTTTTTTGTGTGTTGTGTAGTTTTGTTGTGCTAAATTTGTTTTTGCTTTTTTATTTTTGCTTTGAGTCCAGAAAGTTGAATGAATCTTGACACAGTCATACTTGCTCTAAGGCCCCTTGTCTACACAGTCATACTTGCTCTAAGGCCCCTTGTCTACACAGTCATACTTGCTCTAAGGCCCCTTGTCTACACAGTCATACTTGCTCTAAAGGCCACTTGTCTAAGACAGTCATACTTGCTCTAAGGCCCCTTGTCTACACAGTCATACTTGCTCTAAAGGCCACTTGTCTAAGACAGTCATACTTGCTCTAAAGGCCCCTTGTCTACACAGTCATACTTGCTCTAAAGGCCCCTTATCTACACAGTCATACTTGCTCTAAAGGCCCCTTGTCTACACAGTCATACTTGCTCTAAAGGCCCCTTGTCTACACAGTCATACTTGCTCTAAAGGCCCCTTATCTACACAGTCATACTTGCTCTAAAGGCCCCTTGTCTACACAGTCATACTTGCTCTAAAGGCCACTTGTCTAAGACAGTCATACTTGCTCTAAAGGCCCCTTGTCTACACAGTCATACTTGCTCTAAAGGCCCCTTATCTACACAGTCATACTTGCTCTAAAGGCCACTTGTCTAAGACAGTCATACTTGCTCTAAAGGCCCCTTGTCTACACAGTCATACTTGCTCTAAAGGCCACTTGTCTACACAGTCATACTTGCTCTAAAGGCCCCTTGTCTACACAGTCATACTTGCTCTAAAGGCCCCTTGTCTACACAGTCATACTTGCTCTAAAGGCCACTTGTCTAAGACAGTCATACTTGCTCTAAAGGCCCCTTGTCTACACAGTCATACTTGCTCTAAAGGCCACTTGTCTACACAGTCATACTTGCTCTAAAGGCCACTTGTCTACATAGTCACTTCATACTTGCTCTAAAGGCCACTTGTCTTAGACAGACAGCTGTATAGACTTTAAACACTTCCACCTCTCCCCTTGTGTTTATATATGTATATTCTAATTACACTGCCCCAAGATGCGCACCTGTCTAAGACAAACCACTTTTCTCTTTGTTGATAGTTGGCTGTCTTGGACAACTTTGGACTGTGTTTGTAAAAATTTGCCTGTTGCATGCATTTTGATGAATTAATTGAAAATCATTGCAGTGCAATATAGTTAGGATCAGAGGCTGGTGAATTGATGGCTGTGGTAGCCTTGGAGCAGTTCCATAGTGGACATGCTTTATGAAGTGTCTGCCTAGAATCTAGTTACCTGTGTACAAGACAATGTAGAGAAAAATCCTGTAATTCAGTCTTACTTGTAGTTGAGTAAGAGACATTTGAGAATACGTTGGTGCTATCCTTCGTTGTTTGTGATGTCTCTGAAAGTGAAAGCCCAAAAATCTCCTGTTCATTGGGAAAAGGAGTGTGATATCGTACTGAAACCGTGCTTCTGCCATAGACAAGATGAGCAACTTTTTTATTTTATTTGGTTTTTGTCAGACTGTCATGCAGATCATTCAATCATCCAAATCTCCACAACATTGGAGGCCTCCAGGTGAGATTTCTCGTGTGAGGAGTCCACGAGACAGATGGGCACAGTCAGAACAGGGTCATTGTGAGGGTATCGGCTTTGACCCTATCCGTACGCCCCGGGGTCATTTTGTACCCCCGGGGTTGTATTCTTCACATTTTAGAATCTTTTAGTACGAAGATCTCTTTGAAACGTTCAGTATTTCTCAAAAAATCATTTTGACAGACTGCTATGCAAAGCGTACAGATCGGATTAACGAGTAAATTTCCTCTTTGGAAAGTGGTGGCGCAGAGCTAGACTTCCCCACGTCGTATGGATACGATGGTTGTGGCATCGGTGGCCTAGTGGTTAGGCTACCGGACTCGTAATAGTGAGGTTGCAGGTTTGGGGGTTCAAGCCGTGGGCCCGACGTTGTGTCCTTGGGAAAGGCACTTTACACGAATGTTCCCCACTTCACCCAGATGGAAATGGGTACCCGGCAATAGACCAAGAAAGATTCTGTCAGTTTGATAGTATTTGAGGGCTTAAGCAGCTGCTTGCACTGCATGCTTCCTGGGAAGCTGAGAATGTTTCTGGGTGTTCTATGGTCTGCTTAGGTAATAATGTAGTGTAAAGCGCATAGAGCTTTCTTTCGAGTGGGGACATGCGCTATACAAATGCTATTTATTATTACTAATGTTAAAATACAACGTACGGATAGGGTTCAAAAGAGAGCTTTTTGACTCACAACTTCATCTCTGTTTGACTTTTGGTGGATTGTTTTGTCCGATCCCCCCC